TTAACAGTTTTGATTATAGTTTGAATTCTCCTTGTACAATTCACTTCATTAACAATTAAAAAACAATGTTTTAACATAAAATATGGCCAAGATTTTTATCAGAAACTGATAAAAGAAGGTTTGAACTGGAATTTAGGGACTTGGTGATTTTAAAAATAATATTTTTTACTTGTTTTAAATTGTTTATAACTCAAAAAAGATCAACTTTAGAACAAAATTACACAATACCTTTTTTGTTCATTTGATCCAAATAATATAACAAATATTTTCGTGCCACAAAAGTTGATTTTTACAATTTGTTTAAATAAATTATGACCAATTTTCCACGGGCGACTTCTTGAACCTAATTTTGAGGAGTTCCACGAAAATATTTATACTGGAACAAAACTGAGCTTTTCGCCTTTTCTACTTCTAACTCTCCGTTCTGAACTTGCACATGATTTGTATTATAAATACGTGTTGAAAAATTGTTCAATTTCGCATTGTGCATTTATAACCTAAATGATTTGTCTACATAACGTGCCTTACCAAGCCCTGACGTTAGCGATTAACACGGCAAGACTCGATTTTACCCATTATAATTTTAGTCAAAGAATATACTGTTTTTCTCCAATTTCCAAGATATGCTATTTTGATAGCATAGATAAGAAACCTGGTAAATGAGCACTGAGTGGTTTAACACGTTGATCGCCATGTGTGACAAATGTGTAAAGGCGCGTACAGACCTACAAACGCATGCGGTGAGCAACCACGAATAAACATACGTGTGCAAATGTGGACGGCGCTTTCGTAACCTCTCGCCGCATGCGTGGCTTCTCGCGAATGACTTGAGCACACTTGCTGCGAGCCAGAGTGGTGTCGGTTTTTTCGCACACATCAAAGAAATATACGTGTGCGTTCGCGCTCAGTTTAGACAGATAGCGTGGGGATTTGTTGCATTTGCAAGACAAGTTCGGATATGTCTTTGTTTGAGTTTTATTCATTTTATTGATTTATGTGTAAAATGGAGTGGTCAAACGAACAATGTTTGCAATTAATAGATTTGTATGAAAAAACCCTATATTATGTTATCAGTAAACGTTCCTTAACAGGTATGGCTTTTCTTAAGACTGTGTCGTTTTTCTTTATTACGGGGCCTATATCATTTAAAAGGCGTTCAAAGTCTTTTACTGACATACGTGTAAAATTTTGAAATTGTCCAGTATTAGGTTCTAATGCCAAATCTACTAGTAAATCGGACTTCATTTGTAGGGTTCTTCTTTTAAATAAGTGCGTCGTCCACCATCGCCTATTTTTCCTTGTTTTTTTTTAATGAACTAATAACCACAAACACGACACTAACCATAAGCAACTCCTCAGACATTTTTTCACGAATGGATGGAGCGCCTTGAGCACGCATACATATGCGTTGATTTCTAATTTCAACGAATGCTCTTAGCGCGAATGGTTTGAGAACGCACGCGTATGCGTGGCTTCTCACCGCAGCCGAGCTGCACAAAATTGCTTATTGTTTGAGTAGAAATGCTATGAGAAATAAGAGTAGAGATGGCCCAATGAACAAATTAAGTTAGTTGGCCCGGCTCTAGACCCGAATATATACGATTTGATTAAGGGTTAAACGAATAAATTTAAAAATATATAAAATAAAATATCTTCGCTTAGATTTAGAAACACAAAATTTGTATTGCAACAATAAAATAAAAAATAAAACGTAAGCAATCAGTATTTTGCAATCTTTATAATTTGCACATGTAAACAGAAGTAAATCAATGTATACATTAAAATTTATCGCACTGTATACATTTATATCGCGACATAGTGGCCTTAGACGTGGCGTATTTTCTACTGTGTTGTTCGGACATGTTCTTGTAGCAATTTGAGGATCTACGTCTACTAGCAGTGTTCACTTCCTCAATGTAATGGCTCTCTACCAATCAAGGATTTTCTCTTGGTGTTATATTTAGCAAGTGTTTGGCAATATCTTCTCTAAATTGGGTAATTGTGATATTTTTACTATACTATCTATCTATCTAGTACTAGTACTAGATAATAGAGAAATTGAACAAATATCTTCGTACAAATACCTTGGAGCATGGATCACAGAAAATACTGATCAGACAAAAGAAATAAGATGCCGCATTGAAATTGCGCGGTCAACTTTTAATAGAATGAGAAAACTTTTTTGTAATCTCGATATCAATATATCGCTCCGGATAAGAATGCTTCGATGTTATATTTTCTCTACCCTTTTGTATGGAGTTGAAGCTTGGACACTTAAAAAATCCAACATTAAAAACCTAGAAGCATTCGAAATGTGGTGTTACCGACGCATTTTGAAAATATCATGGATGGATCGCAAAACAAACGAACAAGTTCTCGAACAACTAGGAAAACAATGCGAAGTTTTAAATTCCATAAAGATCAGGAAATTGGAATACTTGGGGCACATCATGAGAGGTAAAAAGTACGAACTACTAAGGAATATAATGCAGGGTAAAATCAAAGGTAGAAGAAGCGAAGGAAGACGTAAAATCTTGTGGCTACGCAATCTCCGTGAGTGGTTTGGATGCAGTTCAATTGAACTATTCAGGCGAGCAACCAATAAAATTATAATTGCCAGAATAATTTCAAATTTCCGATAGGAGTGGAACTTGAAGAAGAAGAAGATATTTTTACCACTAACCTGTTTATATAGTATAAACGCGTTTACGATAGTTGAACCTAGAAGAATTTCTATTGCCAATTTGCGATACCACTTGAGGGTACGTCTGAGGCAAGACGAGTAGGCTTTCAGTTGATCAGAGAGATCAATAAAACTTTTGTTTTGGTTATAGTCTTTAATAGCTGTTGGTTTTTCCTTTTCAGTTCCATTTTTGGACTTACAGTAACTTACAGTAACCATCTTATTTTTTTGTTTTGTTGTCACCATCAAAACTTCATGTTTATCTCACCACTTTAGTATCACTACTCCAGAATGGCTTTCCTTGGCAATAACTTCGCCTTTTTTTAATTTTTTTTGTACTATATCTTTTAGGATTCCCTTCCGATTTTTTCTTAAGGTGCCGACGAGATGAGTTTGTCTGTCCAGCAATTTGTGAGCAAGTTCGATACTGCTATAAAAGTTATCCACAAATATGGTTCGACCACTATCCAATAAATTTTTACAAGGCCCCATAACAATCGATGTTGGTACGCTGTCAGAAGTAGTATTTTTTCTGTCCCACAATATATTTTGAAATAATACGTGTAACCTTATTCAAGAAAAAGTTTGGAAAGTTTTACCCCAAACTTGTTTTTTTGGTTTTTTATATATTGAAGAAAACTAAGACGTCCTCGAAAAGGCACGAGGGTTTCGTCTACGTAAACATTACGTGAAGGGGTTACTGGGTTTTAAAATTTTTGACTGATATGATTTAGAAGGGGTTTGATTTTGTATAGTCTGTGTGAAGTATATGTACTTTCATTATCAGAAAAATGCCAGTGGCTCAAGAGGAGCTCTAATCGATTTCTGGACATTAACGATTTTATTTTGTTTGAATTTAGAATATTTTTTTTTCTTTCTTCTTTTAATTTAGAATATTTTCTTAGAAAGTTAATTCTTTTATGCACAACAGAACTTCTTTCACAAAGGGCTTTTCTGTTATCCTTCTTTTGAAATTTGAAACCCAAATTATGTATCACTTGCCATAGACTTGTTCTGCCAATTTCGTCAAATTTTCTATCTTTTAATTCCGAAAGAATTGGATTTAAGGTCACATGTTCCTTGTTGGCTTGCATTCGATAAATGGTATCACGAATTTCAAATTTTTTTCCATCTGGAATATCTTTCGTTTTCAATGATAGGTGAGTTTTTCGGTGATCTTCTTTCGGCCGTCCATTATTGCGATTTTGTAATACTCCTCTTAGTTTGGTTTCACTAATTCCTAGAGCATCACATACGCGTTGTTGAACAGACATTACCGATTTTAAAGGAGCGCCATTTTCTTTTTCATCCGTAAAATACTTATGTACACTACAAATTAGACTATCTACATCTAACAGACGTCTAGGCATTTTTAAATATTTCCACCAAACATACAATGTCATCACTGGCAAAGAATCAATTCAACTGCAATATTGTAACAAATTTATACCTACTCTAATGTTATTTTAATGTATTTATTTTTTTTAATTTAGTTATTAATGCAGTGTTTACCTCATTTTCTGGGAAGTCGTTTACTGCAACTGGTTATCAATGAGTCATTAGCATAATTTTGTTAATCCGAAACCCGCGTAAATATAGCGAACCGACTATAAATAATACACTGTATAGATTCATACCGCTATAATACGCAGGTAAATAATACACTGGTTATGGGTTAGACCTATATCGCTATAATACGCAGGTAAATAATACACTGGTTATGGGTTAGACCCATGCCGCTACAATACGCAGGCACAGTATAAAGAGGTTCCTGCATAATAAATTGGCCTGTGAAAAGGCAACAAATATTCTCATTATGGCGATCAACGTGTTAATGATGCTGTACGATTTATCGTTGTCTTTTCTGTATTACTTTAAATATGTTATATATGTAAAATATTTAGCTACATTTATGTTTTATATAGCAATTGACATGGTATATATCATTGTTTGATAATATGGGATAAATATTGTTGCATTTTACTACATATTATTTACTGTTTAATGAGAATTGACCGCAATTTCAGCTGAAAATACGTTTATTGTAATGTTTGCACTTCCATTCGGAAGTGGAAATCGAAAAGTATTTTAATTTGAAAGACTTTATTCCTATTATATATAGATAACAGATAAATCTAATTTCGTTTCTGCATAATTCCGAGAAAATATAATAATTAAAGCTGAAGTACTTCTAAGTATTGATGCTAATATATCGACAGCAGTTAAAAAGACTAATTTTATTAAAACATGTGATTGAATTGTGATTTTTTTTAATCTAAAGTGCTTGTATTATATCTGGCATAAGTGTTTCATCAAAGTCCGACCTTTATATTGGATAGAAAATACAATCACTTTCATTGTACATCTTCAAACAGCCACAAGATGTTGAAACTAGTGGTTCTTTTCTGCGCAATTGTAGTAGTAATATGTCAAGAAGATACAACACTTCCTGATGAAACTACTCCTGAACTAACCACTATAGCACCAACTCGTAGACCTTCAGGTAGGCAGTTATCTTTGTTCATAGTTCTAACTTTTTATAAATAATTCAATAAATAAAAATTTCAATTTCTGTGTTACAATAATCAAAGGCAATTTAAATAAATACGTTAATTAGTGAAACATCAAATTACACATCTTCAGCATACTTTATTTTTTTATTATTCTTTTTCTTTCTTGGCTTTGCAACTCTAAGTGAGCCTTGGCTGCGTGTACTATTTTCCTCCACTTTTGTGGGTCTTAAGCAATAATCTTCCACTGTTGCACCTATGACTTACATAGATCACTCGTTATAGCATCCTTCCACCTTTTTTGTGCGGCCAATTGACCTTCTGCCATCGGGCATTTCCCAGAAGGTTGTATTTAGTAGTATTTCCGCATTCGTTCTCAGTATCGTTAAGTGGGGTCACTTTGCTGGAAATTTTAAGTTTTACTAACATAAAATTGTTATCCTAATTTTGCTAATGTGCTAATAATATTATTTTAAAATGTGGCAATCTCACCTCTATTTTAGGGTGAATGTGCCAATCTATTTTTTTTCTATTTTTCAAGGACTATAGCGATATCTTCAGTGCTGAAGTCCATACATCGCCGAGCTCCCAATTGTCTCTTATAGGGGAAGGACGTTGAAGATGACGCACCTAAGCAAAATACATTTTATTTAAGGGTAAAAAATATTTAAGCTAACTTTGAATGCTACGAGCCTGTAATTTGGACATATCTATAACCAATTTCTATGATTATTTTTAAATTCAATAAAAGGAAGTATTTTGTATGCGGCTTTTTTAAAAAACGCTTTTGCGCCATCTTACCTTCCACCGAGGGAAAGATGACGCACAGTGATGGTGAAGATGGCGCATGTAGGTATCTATATTAAAAGCGCAAGTGATATGAAAAGAAAATTTATTTTTTAATACTGAAAGTAAGAAAATGTAAACAAAGCTTTTTTAACATATTAACAAAAGTCACAAATGTAGTTTTCGGGACTTTTGGCTCCACTGCATTCTTTATGCACCCATTGTCCACAACTTGTGCATCTGAACCATGTTTCCGTCTTTTTGCCGAAGTCTCCATCCATAATATGCAGATATCAGTTTCACCTCCCTCGTTGATTATGTCATCCAACTCATCGTCATTGCAAAGACCTTCTTCATCAAAATCGCTTTCTTCAGTATCGCTATCCTCCAAGATTTTTTTGTTTATTTTTTGTTTGATTATTTTTTGTACTTTGGCTTTCCCTTTATTTTTATTTAGTTTTAATCCTGCATCATTAACCAATACTTATCTGGTTACTTTTTCTTTCCTTCTTCCGACTTCGCCAGTTTTTCTTTTTTTTTATTCTCTTTTTCTTCTAAGAATTCTTTTAAAGGGGTGCTTGTTAGAATTTTAGAATGTTGCTTTTGTCGTCCATATTTTCTTTTAATTTTTTTATTGGGCAAAGGAACTGGAGAAATAAGTGAACGAGAAATATGTGGACGTTTGGTTATTTCATTTTGTTTTGTGTGGGTTGTGTGACGACTTTCAGGAGACTGTCGGCTTGTTGATGGACGTGGTAATTCTGGTTCTCTTATAGATGGTGTTGTTATTAGTGGAGGTGTTCCCTGAGGTGCAGGTTCAGGAGAAACATCTCTATCCAAGCTATCATTGTTTAAATTATCAGCAGGAAAAAAGTCATCTTCTGTGAACTTATCAGAGTTTAACGGAAAAATTCCGCACGTTCCGAAACCAGAAACGGCCTTATCAATATTTGCCACCTGATCATATGCTAACTTAAAAATCTCGGCGACATCATACGGAGTAATTTTATCTTCAAACTCTGAGTTGCTGATCTTAGATTTTAGAAAGGAATTGCAATGGCGACCATACGCATATTTTAATGCAGAAAAAAATGACACATCAAGAGGTTGTAATTTGTGGGATGTGTGGGGTGGAATACTAACCATTATAATCCCATTCTCTTTGCAGTAATTATAAATATCCAGTGAAATATGGCTCGAGTGATTATCTAATACTAACAGCACGGGATTATCTGGACTAGACAGGACTTTTTTTGGAAATGCTTCAGCCATAATAAAAACATAGACGTATTACTCCATCCATTATCCGTGCAGTTGTAAATCGCACCGCTTGGTCCATTTTTCTGAAGCTGTGGGCTCATCCTCTTCCTGGGAAATATAAATAATGGAGGTATGTAGTTACCGGAGGCACAGAACGCCATTATTACCGTGATATTCTTCCCTCGTTCCCACGAAGAAATGATTCCAAACTGCTTTACTCCTTTGGGTCCAAGTCTTTTACATGCTTCTTTAGGAACCGTAGATATACCGGTTTCATCAACATTGTAAATGCGATCTGGCAGAAATTTATATTTTTCTTGCACTGTTTCCAAATTTTTAAAAAAGCGGTCTACTTCTATTTTATTGAAGGCTGTTATTCTATTAATGCTTGTAGCTTCTGGCTTTCTCAAAGAAATTTGAGGATTTCGTTTTATAAATCCTAGATACCAGTCTTTTCCAGCCATTTGTTTATTCTTATTAAAATTGTGTTTAATTTTATTGCGTTCTGCATAAGCAAATGCCATGGTTCTCAGCTCTACGCAAGTGATACCAAAAAATAAATTGGCCAGCTTGAGAACATGATCTAGTATCTCCTTTTCATGATGTGCCGAAAACAATGGGGCTCTACCAAGAGACTCTGATTTGACTTCCTTTAATAAATTTTTAACCTTAAGTTTTCTCCTCAATGTAGCTTCTGGTATTGAAAATGCCCTTACCACTTCCCGAATTTTACGACTATCTCTACAAATTGCATTCAATGCTGCATTAAGAGCTGCTGCAGAAAATGATCCTCTCTGTGTTTTTCGTATATATTTTCCCATTTCTAAAAAAGAAAAAGATGCCTCAAAATGCAAAATAGACACTAAATAATAAATATTCTATACTCCATTGTTATTTAAGGTAATGAACTGAAAAGGCAAAGATGACGCACTATAACAGCAAAGATGACGCAGTCTGCGTCAACTTAGCCTGTTCAGCATAACCTATAAAAAATGGTTATCAAAATTATCCATCATCAAATATTTAACAGATAAATCCTCGCTAACTGAAAATAAATATCACCTACTCGCATGAATATGAAGAAAATCCAATGGAACCATTTTGAAACAACTTACCATTAATATTCGCAGTGTCAAAAATAACAAGAAATCAACGTGTATCGCGTTACTCTGCCTCACAGATACTAAACAGTACGAAAGCTGACCGATGAAGTTTTAAAGTAATAGTAGTTCCTAAAGGAGGGCGCCACGGGTATAAAAACTGAATTTAGTGAAGTACTTGATAAAATACAGAGGTGCGTCATCTTAGACGCTGCGTCATCTTCCCCGTCCTTCCTATACACTCCCAGCACAGCTGGAAAAAATTATAAAAAATGGCAATCAAACAAACAAATAGGAAAAAATATTTTGTCGGAATTTATCTAGCAGTTTTTTAGAAAAATATATAATATATTGATGCTCTTTACATATAATATAGACGTACAAAACAATACTCAATATTTCTATGTTAAAAAACTTCGAAAAATGCAGGGCATGTTTTCCAGCCTCCTCTATTTCTAAGATTTTTAAGTTGGCAACATAATAAATATGGCAAACTTTCTCAAACATGGCAATATAATAGTATATTAGCTTCATAAATGTAGGTAACCCTCTCTACCCTCTCTATCAGTGACGTAGTATTTTATATCATAAAAATTACCTTCATATAACTTCTTGCTAATCAAAATTATTCACATTTTGCACCCACGTGTAGTTGATACGCAATCGTATTGTCATTTGCGTGTCAGATCCGAACTCCATTACTACCAATGTTATGAGAAATACAATAGCATATCGTCAGTTAACAAGTAAAACTCACTAAGTACAACAATGATCGAAATTGACATTTTATCACCAAATACATTGGTTTAAGATCTTTGCCTGGAAAAAGTCACTAGCTACAAACATCGTTTCAACACAGACTTTCAATTTGAAACATTTCATTAATTGCAAATTTTAATAAGATCCCGGCAGGTAAAAGTCATTATTGCATGCTATTTTGTGGATAATGTTAGTTCAGTTAGTTGACTTAATCAGTATTTATTGTTGTTTGCCATTTTTAAGTTGTAATAATTACTTTAATAAGTGAAAATTTGTTTAAAACTCATTTACATTCTCTCCTTCGTTTATTGAGTGTACCTTCTATTATAGCTTGAGTTTTTAGATGTTTCGGCAGGTAAAATTCACTAACTACATTTTTCTCAAGAACGTCAAAAATTCACAATTTTTTAATTAAAACTCTGTAATGTTAGATAGCCTAAACTTTTTCTTAAAATAAGTATCTCCTATTATAACATTGAGTTAACATTTCTTCCTTCCTTCGTTGAGTGTACTTTCTGTTACAGCATGTAACAGCTACATCTACAGATAAGGTAGCTTAAACTGTTTACGGCATTCTGTTACGACGTTGAGTTTACATTCCGTCCTTCTTTTATTGAGTGTACTTTCTGTTATAGCATAAATTTTTAGACAATATCTTGGCAGGTAAAATTCAATAATTGCATCTTTCTCGAAAACTTGAAAAATACACAATGTTTTAATATAAACTCTGTAACATAAGATAGCTTAAACTGTTTCTCAAAATAAGTACCGTCTGTGATAACATTGAGTTTACATTCCTTTCTTTCTTCATTGAGTTTACCTTCTGTCATAGCATGAGTTTTTAGACAATATTACAGCAGGTAAAATTCATTAATTACATTTTTCTCACAGACTTCAAAAATAACCAATATTTTAATAGAACCTCTATAAGATAAGGTAGCTTAAATGATTTCTCAAAATAATTAACTTCTGTTCTCACATTGATTCAAAAATAGATTTTTTACCTTAGAATATGTTTTAAAACTCCAATATTTCTGTTTTTTCAATATGGTACTTAGTGAGTTTTACTTGTCACCTGACGATATATT